ATGTCATTTTATTTTTTATATGTTTCATTAAATTGTTTTGTGGCTTTATTATCTACCCAGATGCACAGCCCAGAAATACAATTATTCAGATTTAGAAGCAATAAAATTTGGCATGCATTTTCTCGTATTCAGAATTCCTGCATGTTAAAAAGAAATTATAGCATTCTTCCCACATTGCACCGCTCTGAGGCCCTCACAGACCCATTCATTAACCAAAGGCATTACAGAAAGCACACCATTTAGGTTAAAGGGCCCTTCGGATAACAGATATGCAGGCACAGAGCAAATACTTCACTGTAGCCCCTCCTTTAGATTATGACAATAATAGAGGCAAACGGATTCGCGGTCCCCGTAACGTGCAGCTCCGTGATGGATCCATGAAGTGCGGGGGAGCTCTGGTTGCAAAGCAGCAAGCACACAGAGAAAAGCAAGATGACTACAAAGCCGTCTACAACTATGGGGAAGCAGGAGTCTCACTTCCTGGAGAAAAAGTGATGGCTTCCTGGGGACTTGTATTTCAGGTAAGCACTATAATAAGTCAGAGTCCTGAGCACACTTCCATGGCACATAGAGCATTAGATGTGACAGTGGGAGTTCAGGGACAGAGGCCCAACTGCCCAGCAATATTCTTCCACAGGAAAGCTACAAATTTTTTAAATTTCTAATAAAATATAAACAAATACCTTAGGGTTCCTTGTCTGCCATTATCACTCCCATATATGTTGAACAGGTAATTATTTGAGATCATAGAAGTCAAATTTCAAATGCATTAGGATATTGACACCAGACTATGAAAGAAATGTCAAAAAAATACTTAGGAATGCATCATCAAATTACAATCTTACTATAGAAAAATAGGAATTACAAACCAGAAACACACGCTTGTATTATATTCAGGCTACGCGTCTTTCGTACCGAAATCTAAACTCTAAAAAATGAAACTTTTTGAACACTGGTGTAATACCCCAAGTTGAAACTCTACATTTTAGTTTATAAAAGAATTGAAAATACATTATTTTTAGACCAAGTGTAAGGTGTATATAAAACTCAAGTTGTGTTTAAACTTGGATTCTGCCTCCAATATATCTCAATACGTATATGTAATTATGCTATCCCAAAAATTCTCAAACCAAACTCATACTTTTTAAATAATTTACCCACATAGAGAAGGACTGATAAATAAGTATTAAAAGAACATTAAAAGAACTGCTATAAGTTCACCAAAAATGATCAAACAAAAAATACAGAGAAAAGGCATGGGCAATAGTTTTGTAGAAAACACATATGAACAGGATACATTTGATAGCATATCAAAGAAATGCAAAATGAGTTACTTCTGATAGCCATTTGACTGGCAGAATTAATAAAGGCAACAGTGGGAATGTTAGGGACCACACAGACACACAGGAGCACCCAATCAGTAAGAAACTGGTAAGCTCTATTGAAAAAGAATTTAACATTATCTTAAAAAGTTAATCATATATCCTACAACATTATGTTCCATTTATAGATATGTGTTCAAGAAAAAGAAATCCCAAATGTATATTCCAATATGGAAGTACAAAAGTGTTTGCAGAACCTTTCTCAAGAACCTGGAAATACTCCAGATGAGGATATAGATTCTAGTGTGCGCCACAGTATGGTATTGTGAGATACTCAAAACCAATGATGCAACAGTGTGCCAGACTCTTACTAATATAATGATGAAGATTAGAAGATGCATGCTTTTCTTTTCTGAAAAAAAATAGCTAAGTAATGTAATGCTGCGAAGTGTGTAGGCTATGCTTTAAAGCTGACGATGGATATGAGATGGGGAAAAAAACCTGACTAGTTCTCCTGGGAGAAGAAAGCAATGAGCCATGAAAGCTGCAGAGCAGGAGAGCAGGCAAGCTACTGGCTGGCTCCTACAGCTTGTGACGTCATAAACACCCATACAGAAGAAAGCATAGCCCACCTATTCACTGTGATGAGAGGGTTTCGCGGAAGGAAGCTTAACCCGAGTGCAAGTCCTGAAAATGCTGTGGGGTAGCAGCATTCAGGTCCCTTTGGAATGTGCGTGCATGTGTGTGTGTGTGTGTGTGTGTGTGCTTCACATACATGATATGAGTTGCTCTCAGATGGGCAATTAAAAGTTACATTATTATAAAAACGATGGTTAAGACATTTCAAGGCATCCTGTGCCAAAAGCCATAACTATCAAAAAGACTAGGTGGGCTCGGGAGATGATAAGCTAGTAAAGCACTTACTGCACAAACAGGAGGACTTTCACATGCATCCCTAGTACTTCATAAAATCCAAGCATAGAGGTCTGAGTCTATAATCCCTACACTGGGAAGGCAGAGACAGGAGGATCCCAAGGACTCAATGACCTGCTAATCTAGCCAAAGAGCCCCAGGTTCCAAGATCCAATCTCAATAAATAATGTGAAGATACAAGATATTGACTGTTAGCCTCCACATACACACACATACATGTATACACATATACACCACACATATTATGTACATGTGGCATGTGTGTGTGTTTGTGTGTGTGTGTGTGTGTGTGTGTGTGTGTGTGTGTGTGTGTGTGTGTGTACAGGAGGCCTAGAAAAGGAAAGAGAAGGCACTGTGGACTCAGATCATAGATATCACTTAGAGGATGAGGTTTCCTCTTGGATGAAAAAACAGTAGAGGGTGGGTAGAGGCTTGAGCAAGACAGAAAATATGTGCATGGTCTTCTTCAGTCCCCAGAGTTTCTAATGTACCTAGTGAACACAAAATATTCATCATGTGTCACTAATGCATTACCTAAGCCAAGAACAACTGACCCATAGGGAAATAATCCTATCTGAAAGCAGAACGCCTGGCCCCATGTTTTTCATCTGCGAGAATAACTTTAGATAAGCATTTGTATCCTGATGAACCACATCTATAAAATAGGCTATGTGAGGAGGAAGGAGGAAGGAGGAAGGAGGAAGGACTGAGACCCTCACAGACAAGCTATTTGATCTCTTCTCCTATTTAGATTCTAGGCAGGACAAGGGTAATCTTGCAAAGGGACTTCATTTATGTCATCCAAGGATCAGAACACTGAACAGAACAACAGTTCCTAGCTGGTTGGTTATCTGTGGCCTACAGGCATGGCCAACTAAAATGTTCACATATTTCAGCATTTGAAAAGCAAGATGATGAGATACTTTGTGAATCCTCACTAATAACCTTCTCAGCTACCTGGAATTAAAATGCTTAAGTGAGGTGATGGGATATGTATATGTATATTACTTCTCTTGTGAGCAAAAAGATCTGAGTTTGAGTCTGTGGAGCCCACATTTTTAAATGTGTTGGTACCTAGCACGTGGGAGGCAGAGATAGGTGGATCCCTGCAGTTCTCTAGCCAGCCTGGTTTACTTGACAAGATCTAAGCCAGTGAAAGACACTATCTAATAAACTGAGATGGATAGTGCCTGAGGATGAGGTGGTGTGTGCCGGTAGTCCCAGGTCTGGGTGGGCAGATGGGAAGATACCGGTTCTGGATGACCAGGTTGCCAAATCAAACTGGTGAGCTCTAGGTTCACAGACAGACACCATTCTTAGCGGAGATGGATAGAGACTCCTGACACCTACCTCCAGCCTCCACATGAACACACATGTATATATACCTGGACACACATGCATTCATACATAGCACATTACATACAACACATGCAAATTGAAAAACACCTTTGAAAGAAACCTAATCTAACTACCATGTTTAAAGGTGAGGTCTTCAGGGGACGATTAAGATTAAACAAAGCCATCACGCAAATAAAAGAGAGTGAGAGGTGAACAGAGGGTTTGTGTGTGTGTGAGAGAGAGAAAGAGAGACAGAGAGATAGAGAGAGAGAGCTTTCTGTCTCTTGCCGTGTAATTCCCTGAGCCATCTTGAGCCTTTATCAGGCAAGAAGTCCGTCATCAGATGTTGTCCTCAACCTTGGACTAGCATCATGAGCCTAAGTCAAGCGCTTTCACTCTAAGTCACTCAACCCGGCGTGCTGTGATTAGCAACAGAAAGTGGATTAAAACAACTCCTTCCAAACTCCTCAGTCATGTAGTAGTAAACCACACGGGACTGTGGACCTTGTCTCATTAACGTGCATACCTCTGCATGAGAACTGGAGTCTCAAATAGAGCTATCTTCTATTGTTTAACTCATAAGATACAACCAGAATTATAAATATTTCAACACCAAATTGCATATCTTCCTATAATTCGTGCCCACTAATTCTCGCCAACATTTTTTCCTCCAATAGAGAGACTTCCCTCCCATTACCAACTCTGTCAGTTAATTAGATTTGTCTGTGTGGCTAACCACAATACTGAGTCATCTGAAACACCAATCGCTTATTACAAACCCCTGCACATACCAGTTGGCAATCTGGGAAAGACTCAGCAAGGATGTTCTTTTGTTGGGCTCTCCCAAGTCTCACATATGCATCCCACATAGCACTTAAATGAAGTGGAAGCTGAGGTCTAAGGTGGCCTCATTCACGTAACTGGCAGCTGGTAGCCTTTTGGTCTGGTGACAGAGGGAGTTGGGCCATGCTACACTATACCTAGTCAGGTACAATGACATTGTGGTTGGTCTGAGTTCCTAAAAACTTCAGGAGATGGCCTGGGAAGATAGCTCAGCTGTTAAAACCACTTGCTACTCTTCCAGAGGATCAACAATTGGTTCCTAGCATCCATGTCAGACAGCTCACAACTGGCTGTAACACCATCTCCAGGGGATCCGATGTCCTCTTCTAAACTCTGCTGCTACCTGCGCTCACATGTGTACATACCCCCATGCAGATACATTTATATGCATATTTTTAAGATAAAATATTTTTATAGAATTGAAGACAACTTTAATCTACAATTCCTTATTAGGTCTCTGTGTCTCATTTGGTAATATACAACTGACCAAAAAAAGAAAAAAACCCATGGCTGACCACATACATGATTTGGGTAGTGCTGGTACCCAGGTAAAAAGACAGGGAAAAAAATCACTCCGACCTTTATTTCAAACATTTTTCTGGGCCAGCCTTGAATAGCATCGCTTTTATTTTATGACACAGAAATAGTTTCCTATAGGCACACAATGGACACACATATCATCCGCACATGCACAGAAAGAGGCATTGAATAGTCTCACACCAAAACATATGTACATACATGCTACAGTCACTTATGCACTTGAACACTAGCAGAAAGCCATAGGGGAAGGATTGCATTGAGATATACACAGAATCACTCATGTATATAGGCACCAAGTCCACTTATGAGGCAAGGATTTGCTGTGCACACTCTATTTCATTTTAACTCTCCGACGTTCTTTGATAAAATGCACCACAGCGTATTTTAGAGAAGGAATCCACTGCTCCCAGCCATCCTTTGATACGAAGGGTTAAGTGATTAGAGATGACCCAGGCTGCCAGCTGCAGGCTGGTCTCTGTGGTCTGATTTCTCAAGATGATACAGCTCACTTCCCAGCAGTGATTGCAAGATTTAAATCTAAGTCGGGAGAGAGAAAAATGCAATTCTTAGTATAGTGTTAGTTAAAGCACAGCTAGAGACAGCATAAGCAATGAAGACACCTATCCAACAGAACTGTTTAACCATTTGACTAGACGGGAAATGTGGAGAAGCATTTCTATGGCGCTTCAGATATCAGCCCTTCATAGGTCTCCTGGTGGACCTTTCCCTAGGATGTCAATTCTGAGAAAGATGAACTTTTCTTAAATGAGGCACTCTTCACTTTCTACAGTGATTCTCACATCTCTATGCATATATCATCAACAATTTATGATTAATAAGTGTTTACATTTATCAAAGGTTTAAATAACAATATTGTTGAAAAGCAAATGCTAAAACAGGAAAACGTGTATTTCCATTTCTTGTGCATTCCTGATAGCTTTGGGGAGAGAAAAAGAACACATGTTTTTCCCTTCCATAAGGGCAAAATGCCTAGGGAATTTATAGATGAACAGACTATCTAAACAGGATTATTCTCCTAAGCTTCCCCTACCCTCCCATAAAGTCTTGGTCCAGACATGTCCGCATGACTCCAGCACCGCCATCTTCGTCACCTGTTAAGAGTGGACGCCTTTCCTTGTGTAATACTTAATGCTTCCCTGATACCACCCAAGAATGTAGCTTACCTGCTCTGCTGTCCAAGTTCATTAGCTGCTGATTCACAGGCACACTTGGAAATAGAGTGGGAAACTGGGAAAGCTCGAAATGGGTGGGACATGACTCCTTTGGTTTCCATAACTTGGCTGCGGCTGGCGAAGGTGGTAGCTTGAAGTGCACATCACACCACCAGGCAGACATTGGAAGATCCCTGTGAGATCTAGGGAGCAGCTTACCAGCTCAGGATTGCAAACTCAGGCTCACCAAGGTGCATGCAAGCTGTTAGGTAAAACTGTAGACTGTGGTGCCCTCTGTTCAGCCCAGGACACATGAACCAACCTTCCAGACCTTCCAGACCTTCCAATGTACCTTCCAGACCTTCCAATGTAGCTCACTTTTTAAATCTTTCCAGCTAATTCAAATTAGATGTCTGCAAACCAGAGCACTCATCAATCAAACCAGGGCATGGGGGTTGGGGGGGGAGTAAAGTTTCCAATGCATGTATTCTCATTTTAAGAATGCCAGTTAAGGTCTGGGGAGATGGTCCAGTGGGAAAGGTGCTTGCTATCCAAGCATAAAGACCTGAGTTCAGATCCCCAGCGCCCAAGTAAATGCAGGTGGGTGAGGTAGCTCCCTATAATCCTAGTGCTTCAGGAGGTAAAGGCAAGGGATCCCCTAGACCAGCCAAGTCAACAACCTTTGGTTTCAAGTGACAAATGCCGTCCCATTAAATAAGGATATAAGAAGGAAAGTAATTGAGGAGATATCCACATCAGTCTCTGTTTTCTGCACACTTGTACACACAAATGACTACGCACATGGAAACATATGTGAGTGAGCACACACACACGCACACACACACAGTGCATGGAATAACAGAAGTGAGAGTCAACTTCCACCTTCTTTAGATGTTTATTTTGACATCTGAGGAACTTGATTCCAAAGGTGGTTTCCTGAGTGCAGTCCCTGTCTCTCCCTTCCAGTGCTAGGCAATAAAGCCTGTGGGAACTTTCTGTTGCTCAGCTGGAGAAAACAGCCCCATTGGAACACAGTAAAGTATTTAAGAACACAGTGACTTCCCAAATTAAAGTTTGTCCTGGTTTAAACTTGTAAGTCCCTCAGGATAGCCAGGTCTCAGTTCTGCCTTACTTATGACTGATTTTTACAGTGACAGGCTCTGCGGCCACAAATTTGACTGATGTGTACCAGTCCCAACACTTCCAACTTTCTCTTCAGTGGAGACAAATGCCCATGGCGTGACTCCATACCATTCACACATTCAGGCACTTGTATTCAATACTTAGTCTATTTATTTATATTGCTTTGAAGAGAGGTGTTCAGTGTCAGGGATTTCCTGATCCCACAGTCTCAAGGTGTCCCCTGTAGTCACATCTCCTACCCTTGGCTGAGGATGACAGGAAGTTGCCGGGGAGCTGCACAGACAGACTCCAGGAAGTCCGTTCCTACCACTGTGCTCCCCTGGCAGGGCTGCTGCTCCCAATGGGCACATGCCAGCCCGGGTTCCCCTTAGCCTTGCCTCATTGTCCTAGCTCTTCTATTAGGACTCTCTATCGCCCCTTCCCCAGGGGAATTCCCTGAGGGCAAAGGTTAGGTCTTGGGGTGTCTTCCAGGTCTTTTGCATGGTAAAGCTAATGAACTTGTCCCAAATGTGAATGCAGGTACTTGTGTCACAGACTAGGACCCTCTACATCAGCTTGTAAGGTGGTCAGGATTTGAGGGGAAGAACACTAATAACCAGACTAGAAGATATGTCTAGCGGCCACACACACAGGCTGGGCTGACAAGGGCTTAGGGAAGATAGGACTCCTACCCTGACCACTAATGCCTGAAGAAGCGTCAATAGCTGTAGCGGTACTGACTGACTTCTTCTGGTGCCCGGGGTACCACACTAAACACACAGCAGGTGTGATCTTATTTAGCATAGCCAAGGAAATCAGAAGGCTACATTCCTCCCAGCTCCACAGGTATGGACTCTGAGGCTGGAGGCAGACAGGAAACTGGCTGTTGGCATGTATCCTGCAGGTGAAAGCCAGGTTCAAATCCAGGCCATCTATTCTACAGCCTTTCTTCTTCCCACCTATGAGACTGCAGGCCCACTGAGTGGGAAAACACACTTGCATACACTCACACTGCATAACTCAAATCGTAACAACTTATAAATATAAAAGGATGCTAACAAATTCATCCACACACTCCAGCCTCAAGTCAATCCTGTCTCTGAGTGAGAGCCACCTCTGGGGGGGGGGAGTTATAGACGTCAGGCCCCTCTAGGGTCTGATACCATGGGACACAGTGTGGCAGAAGAGGACAAGAAGCCAAGGTTCCCAGGCAAAAAGGAAATATCACCCTGAAGGGAGCCCCCAGAACTACACATTCTGTTTTTGAAAAGCCCCCCCTCTGCCACCCACTCACGGCTACTCTTATGGTTCATGACTCTGATACTCACAATTCAATCTTCAGCAGCAGCCTCAGGAGGCTTGCTCTGCTCCCAGCTCTTACCACCCCACACAGCCTCTCACCAACATGGATCGTGCCTTGTCTTTGCTCCAACACATTCAGGGATTTCCACCGCCTTCTGATTAAAGTCTAAAATCCTCAGCTCAATTCAAGGACTTTCACACTCAGCCACCACCCAGCCAACCAGATCCGTCCTCAGATACTGGCTCAGACACCCCAGCCTTGTGCTGAGCTCCCAGAATATGACTCACCACATCCCAAATGAGCTTGGACCTCCTGCTTCCCGTGTCTCACTCTTTCCGGCTGCCTAGAACACAAGTCTCTTCTTAGGTTGCCAACAGCGTTTGCTGAACACTTTTTAGGTATCAGGCACAATCCTGGCTTATAAGATCAGCAGTCTCCTTCCGTGTTCAACCAGAATGCTGCCTTCTTCAGGAGATGAGGCAACTCATCTGAGGGAAAGCTCTTCCAGGTGTTTGTGTTTGGTCTCGGACTAAAGGCTTACACCCACCTCCTCGGGCACGGTCTGATACTGTGGTGCAGAGTACGGCACTCATGGAAGACAGCACATCATTGGTTATGGTGGGCTTCAATGCAAGCAGTTTGGTACTGGTGGGCAGTTCCACAGTTCTGGCTTATCACTTATCACTGACACACAAGTTAATGGCAAAGAAAATGCACCATCTCCATAGTCGTAAAAATACCAAAGAATGAATTCTCCAAAGCATCTAATTGTTACAAAGACATAATAAAAATTGTCCAGTCCCCTGGGTGATTTTGACTTATCTAACATTTTTTCTGCTGCATACCTATGCAATTATATAAGCTATGTAAATCCATAACACTTTTGTTGTCAGAAAATGGCTATAAAAACCATGATTTAAAAAAAATAGTTGGAAATACACTGTTGATTTCTTGTTGAACTTAGATTCTAAGCTTTAATATTACAAATAAAAGCAGGGTCCCACCAGATGGCAGGACTCCTGAGGGCTCACAGGGACTGAAGTGGCAATCATGGAGCCCACATGGGTCTACACTAGGTCCTCTGCATACATGCTATTGTTGAATAGCTTGGACTTCTCATGGGGGTCCTAACAGTGAGAGTGGTGGTGCCTCTGATTCTTTTGCCTGCTCTTGGTACCCTTTCATTCTACTGGGTTGCCTCATACAGCCTTGATGGGTTTGTCCCTAGTCTTATTGAACATTGCTACACAGTCCGTTGATATCCCTGGGAGGCCTGGTCTTTTATGAAGGTAAACAGAGTCGATGGGAGTGGGGTGGGTACTGGGGAGGTATCGAGGGAGGGGAAGCTGCAGTTGGGGTGTATTGTATGAGAGAAGAATGAAAAAGAAAAAATAAAGAAATTCCTGATGAATGGAGTCTACACAGTTTGACTGCAAATTAAAAGGACACATTTTTTTCCTCCATGTATTTCTATTCTGGTCTGGAATACAAGACTTACTTGGATTAGAGAGCTCATACTAAAGCAAACAATTCATAAGCGAAGGAGAGGCAATGTAAAGTATTTTTATGAAGGCTGAGAAGCCAAAGTGAGAGACGGACCCAACAAGTTGGAGATCATGAGGAAAAAAATGAATTCTCCTCATCTTACCTCTCCATAGAGCATAATTTTGGAGTCGCAGAAACATTCTGTGTTAAACCACCTTCAGGTAGCATGTCCAGAGAGTTCTTGGGGGTGCAAAAGACCTAACATGCATGCAATGTGTCAAACCTTTTAGGCCTTTGGTTTCACTTATTCATTCAATTCAGCTACGGGTTATTTGTCATGAGCCATTTGTAATCCCCTTGCTAGTGGGGAACAAGTGGGACGTCATCTTTATGAACAAATGTGACTCGGCACGTGCCGTGGGATAGGCCCTTTTATCCACTAAACCTTGTATGTGCAGATGGAGGTTGAATTTCTAGGCACAGAGTTTATGGGGTAGGGACTGAGAGAGAGGCAGAAAGAAGGTAGGAGCAAACCTTACTGAAAACGAACACCAGTTATCATTGCAGACAGGAGGAGAAGGGCATGCCAGACAGAGGAAAGAGAGAAAGGCCACACAGAGTTCAGCATCAGCACCAGCCCTGCCTCCACACCCTCAGGCTGAGACTTGGCATTGTTGTCACCAACAGCAGAGCCAAAAGTGGGAAGAGAAAAAAAACAATGAAATGGGCCCGCCATCAATGAGGAAGCATCATGCAATGCCAGCTTTTGATTTGGAAAGTGTTCATGAGGCTTTCTTGGCTGGGATATTTAAGACAAAAATAGAAGAATTCTCATCAATGATTTATAAGATTTCTTTAGAGAGATGGGGCAGAACCCAGTCTAACAAAGAGCAAAGCAGCACACCCGCTTATCACTGCGCTGGAGAGCATGGGTCAGGCGAGACAGGGCCATGTGAGGGTGCTCTTTGTTCCTAGCCTAGAAATTAGAGTTGGGATAAGCTACAAATTTAGCCAGTCTGAACTTTTTTTAAAAAGCAGTATTTTGGACTCTTCCAGTTGTCATTCTATTCTTCCCAGGGGTCAAAGCCCCCAGACAAGTTATCAGAAAGCTGTGCACGTATTTCAGACAGTAATGATAATGGTAAGGTAGCTACCAATCAAATAGGAGCATCATCCAAACAGAGATCATACTCTATTGTAGAAGGGGGGTGGGAACAAAGGAAAACAATCAGATTTGGAGAATGTAGTATATTAGTACCTTCCTGGCATAGGATGAGATCATTTCAGTTTCATGACACGCTTATTATAAGTCCATTCTTGGATTTGGGTTGTTTTCAATTATGCATGAATTGCCTCCATCTCCTGGACTCCATGGGAAGCATATGGGATGGGAGTGGAATAGGCACCTCAGCCCTATACCACTGCCAACTTCCCAAGGTCCTCATCACCCCATGCCTTACTGCATTCTGCATTCATCTCCCCTGCCAACCTTCCTAAGCCATCAACTGGGTCACTATCATACCAGGGACAACCTTCAACACTCCATTACTATCTTACACAATCAAGATCCCAGTTGCACTGAGCACTCTTCAGTCACTCAATTAGCCAGAGAGTGTTGGCTGAACATAGCAGTGTCAGGTACTAGGTGTTCAGACTTGAACAAGAAAGGAAACGGAAACCTACCCTCAAGAAGCTTAGGGGCTACAGATATAGAGAAAGGAATTAGCAGGTATACTTATGTGAATGGCTACTGGCATAAGTGCAAATTTCCTCGGGACATCCAAAGTTTACACATCTGTTGCCTGTGAGGTCAAGCCTTGACGTCAGCAGAGAAGTGATCACTGAGGCCCAGTTAACCAGCAAAGGAGTATCAGTGGATTCCTGGAAGATGGGATGGGAGAGATGATGGTATATATAAGCAAATGGAAGCAGAGAAAATGAGCATATAAATGTCACAAGCCTTATCCAGAACACAGAGAAGAAATGGGGGTGAATAAGGGTCCAAAAAGAAGGCAAGTGAGACTCAGCTGGTGGCAAGGATCATGACGTACGAGTGGGTGACAGTGAGCTGTATCCTGGAGGCTACAAGGAGCCTCTAAAAGCTGTTGAAGATGGATCTGGAAGGACAGACTGCTTTAGAAACTCCATTCTGTGCCCAGAACCAAGTGTACATGAGTCAGAGACAGTAGGGCCAAGGGCAAAGAGACCACTTAGCAGAATTGAAACCCGGTGAGGCAGAATGAGGGTTAGCAGGAAGAAGATGAAGGAGGAATGTTACTCATGGGACTCAGTGAGAGTGGCCTTCTCTAAGATGAAGAGAAGGGCTGTTCTGACTTGGAACATGGGAAGTTTGGCTATTGGGAAGGTGAGTCAGTGGATAAAGTTCTTGCCATGCAACAGCAAGGAGCTGAGTTCGGAGGACCAGAAACCACGTAAAGGCCCTTTGCATCTGCAGCCACCCATAATCCCAGCACTCCGGAAGCACAGACACTGTCCCGAGGGCAAATTGGCTAGCTGCACTAGCTGAAGATGCTGAGCTCCAGATTCATCATGATGCCCTGCCACTTTAGGCCTCCACACATATGTATATATGTGTATTCACACACATAAACATATGCATGGTCTCTCCCTCACACACACAGAGAGAGAGAGAGAGAGAGAGAGAGAGACAGAGACAGAGACAGAGAGAGAGACAGAGAGAACAAAGGAAGAGAGCAGAGATCCTTTCTTTCGTGGATGAGCCTGAGGTTTCTTCTCATGGAGAATTTTAGAATTTGTGAAAAAGAAGAGACTAGACACGCTCATTCAGATCGCCAGTGTGTAGAGGATCACCACCCTGTAAGCAGGTAAAGCCTGAACAGAAGAAAAGTTCAGGGGAAGAGCCAGGGTAGCCACACATCTAAGAACTGTAAAAAGAAAGCGGTTTCCAATGAAAAGAGGGTTAGCAGTGGCAGGTGGACAAAGTGTAATATTTCTCGAAAGAGCAGACCCCTTAGAAGAGGAAGCGGCTGATAGCATCCATATGAGGACTGCAGGAGTCTACTAGAGTTACAAGAAGTCGTCACTGATGGTTTCAGTAAGAATAAGTCTGGTGAGGTGGGACGGGGACACACACACACACACACACACACACACACACACACACACACACCAGATCTAACAGTATTACAAACCAAAGGACCAAAGCATAGGGAGAAGCAGAGACAGCTGCCTCTTCCTAACCATTGGCAAACAAAAGGAATGAGACAAGGGGTTGTCTCTGGGGTGCAAATTGAGATTTCTTGAAGTCGCTGGCTGCCGTGTGAAGTGAGCTCCCCTCTGCCAAAGATAACTAAGCAACCAAGAGTTCTTAGTTGGAGAATCTTCTGGATTATGGGCAACAGATTCCTCCAGTGAGTGAAGGGGAAACGGAATGGATGCTGAGGTCATTCCAAACCCACGATTCCGTGAGATCAGTCAAAAGGTGGCTTCTGGTCACTTCGGCTCTGCCATTTAGAACTGAGTGCCAAACTCCAGCGTCAGCAAAGCAGGCTTGGAACCGGGACTTTTTTTGTGCCTTTGAGTACCAGACGAATAGCATGTATTTCTTCCCTCAAGGGATAGTTGAACGAGAGTCTAAACTAGAGTTGGAGAAAAGGCTACTAGAAGGAAGAATTCTACCTCCTTCTTCCCCATGAGTTGATCAAGTCAGCTTCTGGAAGGAATAAAACCCAGGCTGAAAGCAGGTTTCTCACGGCGGAGCCAATCCTCCCTTTCCTCCTCTCAGCCCCTCCCCCTCCTCCTCTCAGCCACTCCCCCTACCCCCCCCAGTCCCTCCCCTTCCTTCAAGGGAAACATTGCTCCCTTGGGCTCCAGACTTACCGGAGAAACAAGGATATTTTGAGCCTCCACCTCCATTGCCATGAGCAACTTCTAAACAACCTTCCTAAAAACAGAGCCTGTACTGCCTCTGTCAACCTCAGCTCTGACTGAAGACGGAAAACAGAGAAAGACAGAGAGGAAAAGAGAGAGACAGACTAATGAGCAAAACAGAATACAGGAGAAGGGGACTGATTGATGATTGATTGATTGATTGATTGATTGATTGATCGATCGATCGACTGATCGATTGATCTATCTGACCCTGAGTAAATTACTTCTCTTCTGTGGCTGTTAATTCCCAAAAAGTATGAAATGAGAAAAGATTAGAAGCTACCTAGTGTTACTTTCAGCTTAGAAATCCTGATTCTCAAATTTCCTATCTGTATATTTAGAGCACCCCCAGAGGCCAAAAACATTAGCAACACAAAGAAAATACAATAAGCCCCAGTGAAAATGTGCATAGACACATCCACACACTTCCCTGGCAGTCACAGACAACCTGTGAACACACAGATGGTGAGTGCTGCTTTGTATCACACGTCTCTAAGTGCCGAAAGTGCCAGAGCATGGACACATATAACCCTGTCAGCTAGACCCATGTTTGGGATCTTTCCATGATACAAAGAGATGATCACTGCAAATAACCTAAACGCTCAACAAATGAACCACTTTACGTTGTCAAGCTTTCCTCCTGTAAGGTGGTCAGCCAAGATGGTCAAAGTTTGTTATAAAAGCCACCTTGAAGTTTTGTTGTTGCAAGTATTTTTAAGCAGACTGACAACTCTGATTGCTATACCGCAGGGCTCTCCAAGACCCTGATTTTTCGAGTCTCCCAATACTCTATCCATGTCCCCAGGGGGAGCTTCACCCACATAACACTATAGGACCATTCTCCAGTGTCCTCTACATTCAGGAAAGCAGTTCAGATGCTGTCCTGATCTGAAGAAAAGGCAGGGAAGGCCAGATGAGGAGCTATGCACCAGGCAGCCTCATTCTCCTACTTTCAGAATGAACCACGAAGAGCTATGGGAAGCATGGGAGAAGAGAGGGGAAGATTTCAAAGGAAGCTGCAAGCTACAGGCTGAGCTCTCCCTCTTGTCGGGTGGCCGCCAGCAACCTAGGCTTCATCCAGGTGCCGAAGAACAGTTTAGGCAAAGAGCTAGACTTCAGCACTATTCCCTATCTTCTCCCCATCCATCCTCTCTGCCTAGGGATGAGGGAATTTCAGAAACTATCTCATTACCTTTTTTAAGTAGGAAAACCAGAAGACAGAGTCTGCTCCAGGTCACCTAGGAGAGGGAGAGATGGCTTCTATGCAGAGATTGCAGGTAGATGGTCTGTACTGGCTGGTTTTGTATGTTAACTTGATGAAAGCTAGGGTCATCAGAGAAGAAGGTGCCTCCATGAGATCCAGGTGTAAGGCATTTTTTCAAACTGGTGATCAGTGTGGGAGAGCTCAGCCTACGGTGGGTGGTGCCATCCCTGGGCTAGTGGTCCTGTGTTCTATAAGAAAGCAGGCTGAGCAAGCCAGTAAGCAGCACCCTCTATGGCTTCTGCATCAATTTCTGCCTTCAGGTTCCTGCCCTGCTTGAATTCCTGTCCTGACTTCCTTTGGGGATAAACAGCAATGTGGAAGTATGAGTCAAATGAACTCTTCCCTCCCCGGATTGCTTTTTGGTCATGGTGTTTTGTCCCAGCAATAGCAACCCTAACGAAGATCCACTTAGACCCAGAGGCCACCTTGTGAGCATGGAGGCTACAGGTACCTAGGGACTTTAGGCTGGGGTGGACATCATGGAGAAATAGGTCGTCATCTCTCATAGAGCCCATTAATGCTGCAGGATACCTCATCATCCCTACCCACACACGACAAGGAAGCTCCTCCTATCTCAGAGGCCACCGAGGCTGTGGTGTGTGGGGAGGGCCTCTACAGTTGGAGTTTGTTCACAGCAAATTGGATGACTGTAAGAGAGGCTAAGTATAAGACATTTTTCTCAATGTTATCACAAAATATTTGGCAAGAAGCAACTTAAGGGAGGAAGAGGTTTTCTGTTTTGATTGTCATCTTGTTTTGTGCTTTTGATATTCCATCGTAAGTAGAAAGGGAAGGTGGGGGGGCAGAGTCTCTGTGGTGGCAGAAGCATAAGGATGCCTGTTCATGTCTGGACAGACAGGAAGCAGACAGGACAGAAAGCAGGACTTAAGGCTTATCCTCTACCAACCCACTTCCTCCAATTAAGCCTGCCTCCCAAAGGCTCCACAGCCTCTCTGGAACAGAGCCAGTAGCTAGATCAAGTGTCCAAATGTGTGAGCCTGAAGGATCATTTTACACTCAAACCTTATCAACTGTTCTAAACCAGCAGGTGTGTAGTCTTCTGCCTGGGCATAGGTGGGACCTAATAAGGGGACAGGAGAATAAAGCTGGAGGAAATGGAGATCAATGTGGACCTACCCTTCTCTCAGGCATTCATTCTGATACCCATCCCTACCAGGGAATCCTTTCCCAGCCCCTTCCTGAAGAATGTTGGTCCAGCTCTGAAGGCCAAGGGACAACCTACAGGCTATTTATACATAGTTTGAAAGCAGAGAAGGTCAGGCAGGGGCCAAGAGAGCAGGCACTGCCTCTGTCACCTTGAGACATCAGGCCTTCAACCTGCCTTGTGCTGCTCCAGTGACACAGAAGACAGAAAGCTGAATCCCAACAACCCCTTGGCAGTTTGCCTTCAAGTCAGCCTTGAACTTACCCTGTAAGATACGATGGGCCAGAAAAGGCCTCAGGCTGCCCCCAAATGGCTTCCCCAGGAAAACTCTTTGCTTTGGAGCTTTTGCAAAGTAGAGAACTGAAAGGGGCTTCAGCAGGTTATGAGCTGTCTGACATAGGGTGAGTGAGTCAGAAAAAAGAGTTCTCCGGTCATTGCTGGGAGAATGGCCTGAAGCTGGACATAAGGTGGACTCACCAAAAATGGTCCTTAGGCCCTGCCTTTCTCTACCACCATGGGGACTGCCGGCGAGACAGGAGCCCGGAGGATCCTCTTCAGGGTCTCAATCTGCTGGCAGCCCCTGGCTTTCCATGACCTACAGCCATCATCTTCACCCCTGTGCTCTGGACAATACAAACGTATGCAAACACACCACACACACACACACACACACGTGCACACACACCACACACTACACACACACATGCACACACACCACACACACACACACACACACATGCGCGCACACACACGCACACACACTCACACCAAAATCAACACAGGAAGTCCCAGGATCCACAATATTCTGCCTCTGGTCAGTTAGTTATTAGACATGGAGTGGTGAAAACGTGGTCCCCTCAGATTCTGCAGTCCCCCAATGGTGGCACGAGACCAATATGTTTTTCTACGTCCTAGAAATCTATTGTATTATCACTGTCGTCACACAGACATGGTCCATTGGTTGACCACACAGATGACTGACGTTCAGTTAGCGAATGCTGGACCCCAGGGACAGTCACAAGATCACAAGCAGGCAAAGTTAGGGAGGAGGAGCCATTCGCCGTGCTAGTAGTGGATGTGCATACAAAGACACTACGGAAATCAAACGACAGGACTGCTATCATCACTGCAGCGGAGGAGACCGATTTTCTTGGGGGTGGGGGGAGTGGAGAAGCTGTGACTAGGAGAGGCTACACAGCAAAGGCTTA